GTTTTTTTGCTAAAAGTTCTATAAGGATGGATTAGAAGCTGGTATTTCTTGTGCTTTCAGTATTTCTACACTAGTCATAGCTCTAGCACCTAGAAATACCAGTGGAATTCAGTGACCTTTCATCAATAATCCGTCTGGAAAAAGACAATACAAGATGGTTGAGCCTTCTTAGAGTTGAAAACAATATAAATATTTTCCTAGTAATAAAAATATTTTAATTTCTTTCCTGGTCACTTTAAGCTTGCATAGCAACAAAATAAATTCTGACCTTTATTTTTATTGGTTTGTTTTTCAGCATGAACTCTGCTTCTTCCATGGTATCTAAGCATTTGCAAATGAGTCATATTTCCCTATATCCTCAGTACATAAACATGTGAATGAACACAGTAGTGAATGTGAATGAGCACAGCAATGATTTAATGCAGAGATTCTTGCCTTGCATGTATTCCTTACTTACATGACCATGAAGCTACACTCTCTTATAAGAAACCAGTGGATATGATGACAGTGAGTGGAAGAAGGGATAGTCTTGGGCTGAGCCACTGAGGAAGAAGAGCAGTGGTTTTATCAGAAAGCTGAGTGCTGTGCCAAAAATTGTGGAGGAAAATGAGCATGTGGGGCAGCTGATACTTCATGGGTTAATGCTATTATCCACAGTAACTCATGAAGGATTTAAAGGAACTAATGAAGTGGAGAGGACTGGAAAGTAGTCATGTGAGCCTTGGTGATAAATGGCCAGATGTGGTCCTGATCCACCCGATGAAACAGGTTTGCATGAAAGAAGCTTGGATCAAAAGAAAACTACTACTTATGCCCCCCCCTGCACCCATAGGAGATGGTTCTGTTTTTGGAGATCTTCTACTGTGGCCAAACTGGACATGGGAAAAGTAGAGCCCACATGACATGAAGAAGACTGTATATATAATTTCCTTGAAAAAGTAAGCAGCATCTGCCTCAAGCTGTGGTGGCTTACAAATATTGATTATTTAATAATCAAGATATAAATATTGATTAACACATCCAACATTCTTTTACACCGTAGTAAGTATGTCAGTTCTGGACAGTATTTGCTTCAATAAACTCTGCTTCTAATGGACATTTTTTAGTAATTAAAATCACATTGACAGTACATTTATCATTATTCAGATACTTAGAAATTCTTGCAGTGCAGATATCTGGTACTAAGATGTAAGTGCCCATCTACTATGCATTTAAATTTAAAGTTAGGAAATACTACAAACTTTACCCAAAAAACCCTATTAATAAACTGTATTAAAATATTGTGGTTAAGATACCACTCATGAAATCTCAGGTTGAACTTATTATCCTGTTCATGACGGGATCACATTCTTCATTGAAGTTCAGTGGGTTTTACCCAAGGCTGCTTTTTCTGGTGGTTTCTTTCCCTGCCTATCCAAGCTTTCTGTGGACTGAGGAACCTTTTCTGCTACTCCTGCCTTTCCAGCAGTCTTCTTCGCTGCTCGCTGGTTGCCTTTTGTATCCTTTTCTGTTTCCACAGGGGGCATTTCATTTGGATCAGGTGTCTCTTCTGTAGCAGTAATTTCTTCTATGTGTGGCTTAATAAAATCTGATTTAGGAGAAGTAATAAAATTTCTGAGTAATCCTAAGTAACAATATTTACTGTGCTCAGCAACATTTCTTTCACATTGGTTATGACCTTATCATGTTCTTTTCCTCTTTCCCTACCCATATAAAGACATGCAGTATCACACATAAAATTACTACTTCTTATGGAACCAAAACCAAGGCCAAGTATTTATGGTTGCTAATTAAAATGATTAAGAGGTAGGTACTGGAAAACATTTACAGAAATAATTTTTTCCCACTTAAGTCACCTAATTTACAGGATTGCTCAGAGAAGTCTACCATACCAGTAAGGCAAGAGAGGAAGAAAATGCTGTAAAATATTTGTTCTTGCCTTAGGAGCAAAAAGGAATAGAAGTATAAAATGTTCTGTCAGAAATTATATAACATGTATACACCCTGTATACAAAGAAAAAATACTTAGGCAAAAATATGTAAAACAGATGTTCTGATATTGTCAGAATTTAAGAATGATTTGTAGCTAAAATGCTCTGTATGAGAGAGATGTAATTGTGAAGAATAAATCATTGTCCTAATAGCAATTCTATAGTAAGAGTCTAAAAAAAACAGTGAAACAATATACAAGTGATATATGAGAACGCTGAATCACCAGAGAGCTTTTAATTTTCTACCCTTCCTCTAAATGAGACAAAAAATGGTCACTTATAACTCCAACTTTACCATTCAATATGGACATAAAACTAGGAGAGAATAATTGATTAATCTCAATTAGTGGCTAAACAGTCAAGGTTTTCTAAAAGACTTAGGCATTTAGGGCCCCTGAGCAAGGCCTTATTTTTGGTGAAATATCAAACATCTAGCTGCTGAAATGAGCCTCAGTTTGGAAAATAACACCCATCTGTGTGTGTATACATGCTTAGAAAGTCTTTCCTCTGCACTCAGAAATTTAGAAGTATTTATTATGACTTAAAAAACTTCTGTCAGCCAGTTTAGTCAAGGTGACAACTTCCAGTGGAAGAAGAAAAGGTGGTTTAAAAATATTATTTAAGTCTCTTTCACTTAGATCTAACCTGGTAATTCATACTCTGCATCTGTTGTTGATTAAGAGCATATGTTTGATTGATTGGGAGCTATGAAATATTGATTGGCATGGACAACTCCATAATAATTTAAGAAATTTTTAATTGGAAGACTCCAACAGTGTAATAACACTCTTACCTTTCTTTCCCCCTTCCTTCTGTTTGCTTGCTGTCGTTGCTTTTTTCTTTTTAGATACAGTTTTATTATTTTGACTGTGTCCTTGGGCTGTGTCAGTCTGCCCTGACACAGGCATCACAATCACCTGAAGCAAAGCAAGAACAAAACATGCACAAGCAAGACATGTGGATGTATCACAAATTCAGCCTGAAATCACTATAACTGCATCCCTGGAAGTAACACCTTTCGAAGCAACTTAATACTCTAACTTTCAGGGACTCACACATCTGCCAAATCAAAGCAAAGTAGAATCCAGCCTGTTACCTGGGAGGTGACCCACTTGTATTCCCTGGCTGTTCTGCCAAAATGAGGGAGGCAGGAGGACAGATTTTTGAAAATAAAGTGGTAGAAAAAAACCTTAAAACATGGTTAAAAATAATACTGAGTAATAAACATCAGTTATTGCAAAGAGCTGGTCATATTCTTGTTTGCACTCTGGAGGATGGAAGAGCTGTGACTCTGTTATTTGTATGTTGTATGTCATGGGACAAAGATGGAGCGGCCTGCATATCATTCTCGGATTGGCTTCATGTCCTACTGAGCAAAATTATAAAATAATTTTGCATTAGTCCTTTTAAATCGAGAAATTTGCTCTGTCTCAAATTACAGATCTTCTCATGATTATATTTTGAAATTTAAAAATTAAGCCTTATTACTTTTCCTGTTTTACTCAGCTGCTGTGACTAGATAATCTGAAAATTACCATTTTTTTGGTAACAGATATTGATTCATTAAAGGATGTAGTTACACACACCTTAAAAATGTAATAATGTTACCAATTTTGATGCTTGACTGTTAAATATTTTAGGAGATAAGGCTATGTGAACACATACACTGTTAATGTGAAACACCAAAACCACATTGTTTTTGCATAATTTCATGTTAAAAATCCCTGTGATGTGAAATCTGTTCTGAAAGAAAAAGGGACTTATACCAGATAAACTTGACATGTTCCTTGAAACTAGTGATACTATTAATGCAAGCACATGCACTAAAGTTAGGCACATGCTAACATGTTTCAGTAGTTCATAAAACTGATCTAAATATGGATTATTTTTACAAGATTAAGATAATAATCATTATCCCTTTATAGAAACTGATTTTTTAAAAAAAGAAATTGCTAAAATTGGCATTTTCACCATTGGTAACTGTGTTGAATCTATTTTTACCTGAACCATTAAGAATTCCTTTGAGCTTCCACTTCTCCTTTAACATTAGCTGACATAAAACTCACATGGTAAGGGTTTAAATGAGTGTGAACTGTACAATATTCAGTAGTGGCATCCTCACAGAAATGCCAGTACTGCACCAAAGTGAGTGCTTGGGACTGCAGCACTATTTCTGCAGTCACAGTAGCTAGAAAAGACAAGAGAGAGTACATGAAAGGTGCACAGAGATCATGCTTAGACTGAAAATATATTTGTTCTTCAGATTTTGATGTGAACAATTGTGCTGTTGTGAGACTAGTAATAAAAGCATTTATTGACATGGGACATCGCTCTCCTAAATAGCAATTGGGCTGACTACTGCTTCTACTCCTATCCTATACATATAGTATCATAAATATGTCCAGCAGGTTCTGTTTTTTTCCTCAGCTGATATAATCAGTGGCATTGTAACATAGCAGACATGGAGTTTTTAATCTATGTTAAGTGCATTCAAAGATCTGGACAAATGTTTTTTTCTCATTTTTGTGTAACAGAAAAAAAAAACCAGAAAAAAAACACCACCAAAAAAAACACCACTTTTTTTTTTTCTTTTTGCAGTGAAGATTTTTTTGTAGCTTTAAAAGATCTTTATAAAATATATTATTTCTGAATCTCCAGTGTTAAACTTGAATGAAATTAACTGACTTTGCTATCGAACAAAATACTTACATATCACCCTTAAATCACAATTCATGCCCAGGTGCATTGAAAAGCATAGGACTACTCCTGTGACAGAATTTGCAAAAAATACCTTGTTGACTTAAGATGTGAAGCATGCAGGTCTGGGCAGAGAGGTGTGAAGAGATGCCATTGTGGTTTTGTTGCAAACAGCAAAGTGAAGATTACCAGGGATCTAAAGGGAAGCTGGAGGTAATTACAGTGATGAAAGCATTAAGACACTAAGATACTGTGCACAACTACACGAGCTGTGACTAATAAAACAAGACACAGTGAAACAAGCTTGTGATGGAAGGAAATAAGTGAATTCAGTTTATTTGTGAACACAGAGCAGAGTTCATACACTTTTACAGACACACACACAAACATATTATTATCCTGGCCTCCTAAGCCTTATTTTCATTTATGTTACAGTACTGTTACCCTGTTTGGGCAGATTAAACAATATTTAGGGCTGTAAATGACACTCATATTAAGGCCTCACTAAATTAACACAGCAATACAAAGGGGCCTTAACACAGACAAAACCAGCAATCATTTCTCCATGATCTAACACATTCCATTTATGCTGCTATACCAAAGCTGGAACAAATCCTAACTGCTGCTCAAATACACCCTGATCATTTTTGATCTTTCCATCTACCTCATTAGTTGCTTCCACTAAAACAATTCTTGACCCTTTCCTTCAAGATGCTCCAGGAAGAGGGTCAAATGGTAGGCATGTGTTTACAGACAGCAAGCATTTAGCCTTGCTTAAAAGGCTACAATTAGTTTCTGTGAAGTTAGCAGTAAGAAAACATTTAGGAAATGCCCTGTTTTCCCTGGCATAAATAAGTGTATTAGAAGCAAATGTGAAGTGAATGGAAAAATCCAAGGCTGCCTGCTAAAGCAGAAAGCCATTTACACACAGATTATATCAGCCTAACATCCAAAATCTCTCCTGTACTTCTGTCTTCTAGACTTAAATTCATACTTTTGTTTCATCCTACTGCTTTTTCTCTTGCTCAGACTCTCTCTCTTCCTCAGGTATGTACACACTTACAGTGACATCGCTGGTCTCTGTACCATACTTGTTCTTCACCACGATGCTGTATTTCCCAGAGTCTTGTGTCGACACAGTAGAAATGGAAAAGCTGACATTTTTTCCAGATTCAAACTTCAGGATGCAATTGGCATCTGATACAAATGACTTTTCATTCTTCAGCCATGAGACCTCTGGGGTGGGATCTCCCCAGACAGTGCAAGAAAGATTAAGTGCCTATAGAAAAAGTACAAAGGAATTATGAGTCAGTAAATATTTGTTGTGTTTTTTGATGCCTGACTCTCCAAATATTCTGACTTTCCATTTAGCTTCCTGCTTTTAGTAAAGGGATGCATACCATCATCAGCAATCAATAATTTATTTCACTCTTCTCTATCATAAAGGAAAAGATGGAACTCAGTTAATTCAAAAATGCCATTAAAACCTTTCAATATTTTATAGACCTTCTCTACTCTCATAATCATTGGTAGAGGTTTCTCCATGCATATTTTTTAATATAAAATTAGATTTTATCTGCATTTGTGTGTTAGACCTGAAATGAGATTTTAATGAACTGTCAAATGGTTTTGTTCACATTAAGCTCACTATATATATAAAGAAAATGTGCCTGCTTTTTTAAATAACTAAGAGCAAAGTGGCCCTAGAATATTTTGTTTAATTTGGGATCCTTTTAAACTATGCCCTGACAGCTCTTCTAACACTTGAAGTGTTTTATGCACTTCTGTAAAACTATTTTTAACTGAAATCAATACCGGCTTAACTCGTTCTTTGGTGTTCATGTATTTCCCTTTGATATTAGTACTGTTCCAAAGGACTGAACACAGTCCCATCAGCCTGTAGGAAGTATCTTCACTGTTAGAGAATCATATTGTTAGGTCATTGGCAGCTTCTTCTACCTTCAGCAGGCTGGTGAGTCTCTTGGGCACACTTTGCACAGGCCTTCTTTTTTTTCTTGTCAGCTAAGAAATTAATTTTGGGTGATATTGACACATGTAAATGATCCCCTCCTCCAGTTACAGTCCTATGGCAGTCTTCTCAAAAAGAGATATTTGCAAAAGTAAGTATTACACAGAGAGTGAAATGTGAAAAAAGTTCACATGACAATTCAGTGGTACACAGGCCTTTCTCTGGAACTTTATTTAGGAAGGAATTTATTTATATGAAGTATTAGATAGTACACTGGTCTTAATTTAAAATGCCATTTAAAGAAGAGTCTAACTGGACTGGAAATTGAAGGACTTTTACTGCAAGGAAAATGATCTTCAGTGCTTCATTAGGAATGGATTAAGTGATAAATAAGGAGTAGACAAGATTTCACTTGATTGGAATCAAGTATCTCTTCCAGCCTTCCCTCCAACTCACTGCTTCTTATCCAGTAGTGTGATAGTGGAAGATGGGACAGAACAGAGATACCTGAAAGGCTGTTGAAATGAGTGGACAGAAAAATTGATGCGTCTATAAAAGTGAAAGGTGTTGCTATCTCTGAGAACAAAATAAAAATCCCCAAGTGCCCAACCTAAGGACCAAAACGAGAGCAAAAGGGAAGGGAAAGTCTTTCCTCTATCAGCAATATGTAATTCTTGGCACTGAAGGAGGGCAGATTCCAAGTGAGAGGTGGTTATGGCATAGTGGAAGTGGCCTCTATCTGATTTCCTGCAGCACCTACAGCTGGTGACCATGTAGGGCTCTTGACTCCCTTCTCTCATAGCATGCAGGTGTGAATGTGGTTTTGATAGCCATATCAATCCGTCTTTTTGAAAAACAAGTGGAAAACAAGAGGTTTTACATTTCCCCCTCTTCCTTGTTACTCTGGATACAAACATGCCCTCAGCCTTAGCTGGGCAATGCATATGGACCCCTTCAGGTGCTCAATATTTCATTATTGTCTTCTGATTCTCAAGCAAGCAAGAGCTCAGCACCAAGTAGCTCCTGCTGTGACGCCACCACAGTGCTAATAAGCTGATGCCCATGTCTACACAGCTCCATTAGTGGCATCATTCAAAGCTGGGGTGTTTGAAGTGGCATACTCCTTAATTCAAAGAGATTCAAGCAGTGATGATTCTTTTCTTCTAAATCATTCTTTAAAATAGCTACATATTCCTTAACCTAGCATCACTAGCTCCTGTTTGGTATGAGTGATTCTCTTGATGTTCCCAACTCTTTCTATTTATTTTCCAGCTACTAATGTGTAGAGATGTGTCTTATAATTCACTCCCTGTAGATGGTGAGATCTTCAGTTTTCTGAAAGGTAATTCCATAGCCAAGGAAAAATTATTGTTCACTGTGACTGCACCTATATGTCTTGGATTTCTGTTCTTTGGGTAAGAGATTGTCTTTGCTCATGTATAAATTTATTACTCATTGAAACCCTTGATTATAATACTGTGTTCAACCTGATATCAGAAGAAATGTGCCCTATACTCCTGGGCCCAGGGCATTGAATCATGTCCACTTGAAGCAACCAGTAGGTGCAAGTCCAGACCCTTTGTGGCCCTCACTACCTCTTCTGCCTTTTACTGCAGATTATCATGAGTAGGGTAGTACATGTGACAGAGAGAAGTGTGTCATTGTATTTCAATTGCCATTCTTCTTTCATATTAGCACAGAGTCACAGTCAGGGGTGGTTTGGTGAGTGGACTGAAACCTTCAAGGAAATCTGCTCTGTTCTTCCAGCCTATCTGTGAGGATCTACACCCCTGGCAGAAGGGTAGAATATTGAGTTGGTGGGAAGAAGGATGTTACATGTTGCTCCTATGTCTGAAAGTGCCTCTCAGAATTCTAAGCCTCTTCACCCATTTATAGGCCTTCATTAAAACACGCACTTAGGTTAAGTTGGCTGGCTGGACACAAAACTTATGCTAGCATTCTCTGTCAGGTCAGATTCCTCCCTAATGTGAACTGACACTTAGCCTTTTCCAATTATACCACACTGCTGAGGAGCATTTATGTCTATCAGTGGAAGCCTCTTAGGCCATCTGGAATGCTATTTGATTAACACTCAGTAAACACTGGTTCATTCGTTCTCACCCATACCCTTCAGCTCACAAGTAAAAAGCTAACAAATAGCATCACAGTCACAATGTGAAGTTTAAATTTGAGATATGCATATCTAAGTTCAGTCTCGGAATACCAATCAGTTCATATTAGTCTGTGGTTATGGTGGTACTAGAATTCACAATCAAAGCTTGCCAGACCTCTGCTACCTCATTTGCTGTTTTACAAAATCCTCAGTGATTGTGCAAGTTGCATGAGTTACACAACAGGGAATTGCATTCTCCTCTCTCCAGCATATATGCAAACAACAGACAGATGAGCCAACACCACCCAGACCAGCTCTGTTTTTCCTGATCACTCTCTGTCCTACTCAAAACAGTCCTCTACTGAATCGAGAAATGTAAGGTCAGGGATATTTGTGTTGAGTTCTGGGAGTATTTCAGCCATGTATTCAAACGTTACTAATGTCCTTGCTGTCAAGGACAACATGTGTCTGGGTAAGCCTTTGCAACTCATTTGTTACAAACTCATTTTATAAACACTACACGTTTTGCTTCAGTGAACTCATACACAAGTTCATATCAACTGTCCTTTGGCTGAAAGCTTAAAACTGGTAGTCGTTTACACCCCAAGTTTACACCCTGCCAAAGCATTATGAGAATCATGCCTCCAAGCACTGATTAGCTTTCTGAATCTGCTAATTCATTCTGTTCCTTTGTATCTTCTGTCTACAGTTACAATGCTCACACGAGTGCTTCTTACTTGACAGCATTTCTCAAACTGCTAAATCTGTTAAAGAATTTTATTTTGTAATGTCAACATACTTGATTTTCCCAGAACTTCTGCACTCTACTATCTTGTTGGCTGTATCTCACGCTGTTAAGCGTTTCAGAATAAGATTTTAGATTCTTAACACTTCTGCTGAGCTTATAATCAAATTCTTTTAACCCAGCTGACCTACTGACTGATAAAGCCAGAAATACCAGGAAGCTGCCTTACTGTAGTTGTCACATTACAGGTTTTCAGTGACATTCACATGCCCTATTTCACTGTTTGCACACACTGTGGAGAGGAACTGGCTTGTGGCAGAGCAGCAGGAAGTGAAGAGCAGGCACTTCTTTGTCTCAGTCCTATTAAACAGCAAGTTGTAGAAACAGTGTGCTGGGAAAAGGTTGTGAGATTGAGAACTCACTTTCTGGGTCACCTGTTCTGTACTCAAGCATCGATATTCCTCTGCGAGTGCCTTACCATAATCTTTCAGCTAAACTCTCCTAATATAATCCAGTATAGCACCAGTAACTTACTTTGACTTTCTTCTCCTTTCCCTGATGAAATAGAGAATTTTTTATCCTATTGGCTGGATGAGAATTGAGTTATTGAGTTACACCATTTAAAAGCCAGCCTCTACAGGTGTGATTACCATGCCACATTGCAGAGAAGTTAACTGCAGAACAGAATAGAATGACTGGCTCCCATGTGAAAAAAAGAGTAAACTTTCCTGATGCCCTGTTACAAAAAAAAAAATAAAAATCTAACTGTGAAACCTGTGCATGAATTTTTAAAGAGCTGGTTATATAAAGAGTTTTAGTCCCAACTCACATTGTCATCTCACTTTTATCTAATTCTTAAGAAAAGACACTGCCCTGAATACATAAACCCATCTGTGCAAGTCCATTGAATTATGTGCAGAAGGCAGGGGATGAATAAATAATGTAGCAGATTTTAAAGATGGCATCTTAAAAAAAAAAAAAAAAAGGTGAACGTGTTCCCATCATTGAAAGGCATTCAGGCTGTTGGGATTCAGTTAATTCACTGTATTCATTCAATTAATTCACTTCAGTTAATTTACTATACCTTGCCCTCCTGGATGGTGACAACATCGGGCAAACCTCCAAGTACCCGTGCACGATCTGGAAATAAAGAAGGGTAATTTTCTTTAGTGTCTCAAAATCAACTGTGTGCCGGATTCTGTTTCTCTTCTAGTTCTTTCCTTTTGTCTTATTTATGTACAACTTGTCTCTGATATCTGTGCTAGCAGAGAGCTATCCAGCATTTTTAGCACACCATTTGGACTTTCAAAAATGTTGAATTCACAGCAAAAGATGTGTTAATATTTGGTGTCAATCACTTACAGAGAGGAATTAAAGTACACATGCAGTGTCCTGCAGACTTTGATATTAATTCAGTTTTAATTCTGAGTGCATGAAAAATGCATTTTTGGGACCTGGTGCTCAAAATTTTTACTGTAGTAAACTAAAAACGTGTGTTCAAAGGGAAATGAATGACACCTTGAGAAGTGCTGGAAATTGTTCTTTAATCTAGATTCAAAGACAGACTTCAGTCTCAGTAGCAACAGTGAAGTTCCACCACTTGTGTGTATCTGTGTCTAAGTGAGACTGATAGCTGATTGATCTGGTTTTAAACTCAAGAGTCCCATAGAAATCTTAGACAAATACAAATAAGCCAATCACAGGCAGCCTTTAGTGCACTTATTCTGGAATATGGATTTTGGTCGTCACATGTCTGGGTGGAGCCTGGCAGGGGAAGGAAATGACTGTACAGAATGTTCCCCTCAAGTGTGTTCTGTAAAAGATGTGCTCTGGAGCACAGAGATAACAGCCTTAGGAGACCAGGAAAGGAGCTGTGTTATGACAGTTAACATGCCTTATGGATAGTGCAGGGTCAGAAATTAAAGGTCAGCACAATCACTGACCCCTTTGCGCTGTCTCAGCCGGGACTTGTGGGGGTTACTGTTCAGATCCAAGCCCTGCTCTATGTCTCTACTCATTTTTCTCAAATAAATTTTCAAATGCCAGTTCTGCCCCCATTCTTATACAGGTCTGAAAGTCATTTGCAGTGGAACAATTCCTTTTTCCATGACTTCTTCTGTAAGTAGGGAGGATAATGAGTTTAATAATTCAAGTTGAAGTCTAATAACTTACTCCTTAAGTAGTTAATACATACTTCTGTTTTAGTTGCTCTGTTGGAATTGACATACAGGCAAAAATGTGAGAAGATTCTAAGCAATTGAAAAGATACTGTTGCTTTCTTACCAGTTTCTGTAAGTTATACAGAGCTATTTGACATTTTGGAGCGTTCAAAACTAGCCAAATTATTCTCTCCATTTTTGAAAACAAAGAGACTTTTGTGCGGAGAACATGCATGAGAGATCCCAGCAACAAAGTTAGTTTTTAGAGAAGGCTAACTGATATTGAGAACAGAAGCTTAGATGAGAAAAATCAACCTAACCCATAAGTATGATTAGTTGCAAAGTGCACCAATGTTAAATCAACAGTGCGTCACTTATTTCTCCTTGGCATAAGGACAAACTCATTTTAGGATGAGCACATGCATATACACATGCCTACATGCCCTCTCTTTCTCAACACACAACCTTCCTGGAGAGGAAGGAAAGCTTCATAAACAGTTTATTGCAACCATTGTCAAAGAAGGCCTACTTACTTTTCTCTGCAATTGCAGCTTGCCTGGAGTTGAAAGAAACAAGGGGAAAGTCCAGTTTCAGTTAAGGTTTACTCAGAGTGATTGAAAAATGGATTATCTTTCTAACTGCCTTTAATCCATTAAGGAAAATCTCTCTCATTGCTTGGCAATACAGCTTTTTCTTGGCTACCTGACTGTTATATAGGAGTTACACCAAAGAAATCACATGCAAAACTCCTACGGGCTTCTGAATGACTAGGACTTGTTTCATAAGATAAAGTTATCTCCAGCACAAAACAAACAAATACTGCTATTATTTTATGGCTGCCATTACTGTATTTAGATGGCATAATACTTACTTTAGTCTCTGGAACTCAGCAAAGGCTTCATCAAATGCTTTGTAAAGAGGAAAAAAGTTGGTATAGAGATAAATAATCACACAAGTTTAAATTTCAAATAAATAAATTATTTTAAAATGTAGATGTAATAAATTTAAAATGTAAAATGTAAAATGCATGCATGTGTGTTGTACAAACTCTAAAATGCTGAATGGTTCAACTAATAAAGGCCATCTGGTATATGACAGCTATTATATATACAAATGAATGCATAAACACACTTCCTTTTTTCTAGAAGTCAGGCTTTAAGACAGAGGGCAAGAAAATGATAGGCTGAAGTAATTTCACAAAAGAGAGGAAGATATGCACAATACATTATGACATTATGACAGTGACCTTCCAAACTTTTTATATTATACATCCCTATCTAATATTATTTTGAGAATGTGCTCCCTTTATGTATATTTATTTATAGATTATGTAGATGTACACAAGTGAAGTTCTTGTATATTCTTCCTGCCATCCCAGTGAAGCACACTGAGTCATCTTGCACACACCCATTTCAGAGACCACTGGTTTATGAAATACAAGAGGTATGATTTTCCAAGGATTTTTCACATCTGCTTGAAGCATCACACTGATGGCTACAAGCAAAGCAAACAACAAATTGTTGTCTCCTTTGTAAATTCAGACTCAGCTGCCATCATGGGGGAGGTCAACCTCTCCTGCTTTAAAAGGGAAGAAGAAATGTCCTTTCCTAGAAAGTGGAGATAGAGTACAGAAGGAGCAGCGTGGAGGTGATTAAAATGTTATCACCCTTACACAGAGCTTGCAAGCAAAAAGTGAAGCTTTAGGGATGGGAACAGCTGGGAATGGAAAGAGTAGTTTGGAAAGAGTTAATCTGTTCTCTAGGATCTGAGAGGTCTCTCAGAGTAAAAGCTTCCAACCAACAGTCAATCCAAATTGTTCCCCTAACTGTCCTTCCCCATGCTGAGAGGTCTTGGCATCTCTGAAGGATAAGGAGCTTTATTACACCCATCAAAGAAATATGGTAGGAAAGTATCAGAACAAACTCGTCCCTCGCTTCCTCCTTCAAATATTCCTTGGAAGAGAGACACACTGAAGGCATTCAGTGCTACAATGCATATTTAAAACTGCCAATCATGTCAGCAACACAAGGGGTTTTGTAAAATAGCTCAGAAACTGGGCTGGCATCTCAGTAGGCAGACTGTAAGTGGGTATTTGGAGTAGGAAAAAGTGGTTTGTATTTTATTACTTGAGAGCACAGGCTGGGGAAAACAAATGGCATGGGTTGGGGAGAACAGATCCCAGAACCACAGAGTAAGCTGAGTTGGAAGGAGCCCACAAGGATTATCAAGTCCAGCTCCTGATCCTGCACTGCACCATCCCCAAGAGTTACATTGTGTGCCCGAGAGTGTTGTCCAAAAATGCTTAACTCTGTCAGGCCTGGCTGACACAGTACCTACAAAAAATGCCAGACTGGTGGGTGCAGACACAGACCCCAAAGGGTGACACGTCTGTAGCAAGGTCCTGCTGTAGATGCTACCACAGCATACTGCCCACATAGCAGTGATGTTAGCAGAGGAATGGCCTACCTTGTCCAGAGAGATCCACCGTCTTTTTGTGCGTTGTGTTGCCATCAAAGAGTTCCATTATGTATCTGCCTTTGTCCTGTGGAGTTGGCTCATTTATCTGCAACCAGATCTGCTCCCCGGTGACACCAGTCCTCATTCGGTCCGTGAACTTAATCTGGGTGTCACTGAAAAGTACAAAACAGCATTACCTTTTCATTTTACTGCAGTATAATGAGGATTTGCTCATGTTGAGTCACAGAGCACATCTGGAGTTACTACTGCTAAATGATTTCCAAGATGCTATGGTATGCCATCATATTCTGAAACCTCTGAAGTCAAATCCTTGCTAGAGTTGTGAGCCAGCTGGGCAGAATTGGTGTGACAGGTTTCCCTGTTCAAGGTCCATCTATCCTCAGAGCTTGCAGAAAAATTATGCATCTCAGTCTATGACGTGAGCCATAGAAAAGCTGTACAAGTCTAAAAGCCACATCTCTGAAAGGTAGCCCAGGCATCCACACATGTTGCTGTTCTCTTTTAAGCATAGGTTTATTGCTGCTTGGGCAAACCTAAAGTATACAGGGCTGTATCTATAAAAAACCCACTTTTATCAGATACGGTGTTTGCCCAGTTGGAATGATTTCTGATGCTCTGCTGTGTTTGGAATTTAAACACAATTTGACATAAGCATATCTTCTTCCATTAGAAAAACAGAAAACAAAACAAAAAACCCAAAAACTCAACACCTCCCTCCCTCATCCCCCAAAATCAATTTCTTAGCTTCCTGGCTAAGCAGTTAATTTCCCTGGATGAGTCAAATAAGCTACTCGTTTCCTTGTTATCTTTAAACTGATAACTTTGAATGCACTGGAGGGAAAAAAGTAATTTTTTTTCCTCTATTAATTTGACATGCTTCAAGATTAAACAAGTTTCTAAAAATGAAATGGAGAAAAGAGATAAAGAGAGAGGGAGGGGAAAAAAAACCTCCTTGAATACTTTATATTCTCTTGCACTTACTTGAAATACTTGGGACTTTTGTTGCTACCAGGTCAAAATGGGTGTCAAGAAACAAGAAGGCCTCAAATCACTTTCATTTTTCTGGCAGGGTGCTGGTTAACACCAGTGTCAATAATTACAGCAAGCCTGGTACAGCACATCCTGGATCTTCTGTGCCTCATTTACATGAGTTTTATTGAGAGATCAGTAATTCAGATTCCATCATACAAACTAACTGCTATCATGTCCACAGGAAGTGAAACAGCAAGAACAGGAATAATGGTTTTGAAATTATCTAAGTTGTTTACTTCTCTTGTTTACTTCTCTGGGTTTTCCAGTGCAAGCTGTTAGTGCTGGCTGAGAACTCAAAGCTGTCTCATAGATTTGGATGTGCAACTCCCATTAATTTTATGGGGAGCTGGGCATTCAAATTCTTTTTTAAAATCTCAGTTCTTCTGTCTGTCTTGGTTAGGTTTGTAGCGCTTGCAGCAACTGTTGTCTGGATTTTACTGCTCCAGGCACATGCTGGAATTTGCCTCCTAAAAATGAAGCCATACATTAAGAGGATATGTCTGCTTGTTCCAGTTCCAGTGAATTGTGGTTTCTAGACAAGCAGACCTCCAGGGCAGGTATCTCTGAACCCATGGTGCTGGCCTCTTTTGAAGCCTGACAGTGTCTCCGTTTATGTTTGCATCACACCTTAAAACTGAGTCAGGGAAAGATGCAGCTCCCACTGGGGAGGTGGGAAGTGCTCTGAAGCAGCACAATCCTGCTGGCATCCTGTGACATGGGACTGTCTTTCATGAGAGAAGCAACAGGAGGGCCTGGAACCACCCCACCTGGCTCTCCTACTGATTTCCCGTGAGTGTAATTGACTGACACAAACTCATATGAAATAAGGACTCATGAGAGAGGAGAGGAAACCTGGCCCTCATCTCTCTCACATATCCAGGTTCTTTCTGAATCTAGGAAACCAAAACTGCACTGCAAACCTCTTGTGTACTTACTTGTGCACCCAGCCTACTCTCAAATCTTCCACATAATAAGTAACATAGGAGTACAGTCTGATACCCTCAGCTGTGCTCTGGATTTTCAGGTCTGTTGCAGATAAAGCTGAAAGAAGAGCACATGGTTTTATGCAGCCGTACAGCCATTCATTGAGTGCCACAATGAGTCATTCATTCGAAAAAAGAATTAAGTGCTTACCAATCCTTCTGCATACTTCATTCATCAGATCTGCAAAAGCTGTGGAAATAAAATCCAGAGACTAAGACTCTGTGTCTGCAGTTCAAACACAGTCAACAGTAGGACAAGTACTGTCTCTGAAGTATTCTCCCCAGAAAGTCTGAAAAACTGGTCTTTGAAAAATCTACCTTTTCAAGCATATTAGAAATCTGAGTAATTCAGAAATGTGGCCTGATATTTTACAGTTTCCAGACTTTATTTAAGTGCAGCTTTGATGAATGCTGCTGCAGCTGAACAAGATTATGTTATTTTTGTTTTTGTAAATGACACTATTCAGCTGGAATGCTAACCTGTCTATATACATTCTAATAGATAGGAGTGAAATGTTAAGAATATAGTAATCGCAGTATGTGGAAAGGCCTCTGAATAACTGGCAAAATATAATAAAATATTTTAAAATTATCTAGTTCTGTAATTTTTTTTCTATATTTGTAGGCTTTTTGATGGTGTCCCCAGGAAATCTGTTTTTATTATGCTTAGTATTAATCACTGTATGCTCCCAAAATTATACAGAATACAGATGCAATAAGCTGTATTTAAATGTAATTTGAACCAAAAAATCTTAGATTTTTTAATCAGATGATTTTGTATGCAAGAGGAAGAAAGCCACAGGAAGACAACATACACAGATGCCTGTATTACCCTGAACCCACTTCAGTCAGGGTATTTGCTGGTGTGGCTGACCACAGCCAGACTCTGACCTGTGTCCTTGAGCTTTAGCTCACTGGAGTCCTTTCCTCTGTCGTCCTTCAGTATGACTTCATAAGTGCCAGCATCTTTCTTAGAAAACTGCAATGTTGTAACAATAAAACTAGTTTTCAGAACAGGTATTGTAGAAAAATCTAGATTTTACTTGTGAGCCCAGCTGATATCCCTTCCCTTTCCCCAGGCAGGTACCCAATGCCTGGGGCTGCCCCCATGCCCCCCAGCTGCCCTAGTCCTGGCTGGGTTGGTGGAATGGGCTTTGGTGGGAGGTCCTGGTATGCCAGGACCATGTCCTACCCCAAATCTGCTGCAAGGCTGGGTATGAGCAAGACCCCTCTGGTGACTCTGAAAGCCTGAGTGACAAGCACTTTCCAAATGCTATTCAGAATGGAAATGTGGTCTCAATCTGTTGCTAAATTGACATGTAAAGGAAGTGACAAGCTTATTATCTCTTCTGTCATCATTTCCTGAAAATCTGAACAAGCAGTTACAGACAGACATTTGCTTTAGCGAAAACACAGACGCCTTGTGAGCTTTTCCATTTTTAAAACCCACTTCCTTTTTCAATTGTTCTGCTGGAGTACAAGATCAGATCATATAATTCATCTGAACACTAGTTTCAGCTGAGGGCTAATGAAGACAGTCACTCACCTCTGATATAAGCAGAGTACACACGCCATCCTTGAAGTCATGTTCTTCATCTACCATTATCTCCCTGTCATCTTTGTACCACACAATGTGTGTTTCCTTCTTAATATTAGCCACCTAAAATGGATGAAAACCACATGGCAATTATTCACTTCATCTGAGCAGAGGAGCTCGGTGTTGTAATTTGAGTTAGCTTGTTCCGTGGGTTAGCGTGCTCAGGTCTCTCACAGAACAGCAAGCTTTACAACCTGATTGCAGTGAGTTACTGCAGGCCTCCATTTTAAAAGGAGGAAGGCAAGAGGGAAAACAACAGGGATGCAAAGAGAGAGTAAAGGAGACTAGAGAATGAGTTGAACCTTCCCAGGGAATTTCTACATGCATAAATGGGCCAAAAATGAGTAAACCCCTGGATTTACAAAGACTTGTCATTCCTTTTCAGGTGCTTCTCTGAGCGGGTGGCTGATACACCAGAAGAAAGAAGTTCAAGCTGTTTTCCAACGCACTTTGCTACATGCAATGAGCTGTCACCTCAGCAGGATTAAGCATCAGAGGCTCTGTTACTGTCCAACATGCAGCTGGGAGTACAAAAGCAAAGGTCTTTAGTCCCTTCCCATCCTTACCATCTAGGTAGTGGTATGCCAATGTACTCTGAACATTTTACTCAGGGTTTTCCTTGCCCCTTACCTTACATTTCAGCATGACATTACACTCATCGGTAACTTCCCATCCCAGTTTATCCACAAAATGAGGACCTGTTTGAAATTACAGGTATATTTTTAAAAGACAAGTCAATGGTATTCATGATGCAAAATGAAAGTCAGATGTGTTTTACTTGACAAGAATACTGTTACATTTTAATGTGGCTTTATTTTTCCTATTTCTGCTTCAGAAGTAACCACATAACACAAGAAGCCCCATGCATTTCAAATTAATATAGATAAATATAAAAAAGCTCTTAACAGAGTAACACATATGTGATTCTTATAAGAATTCATATTATCACCTTGTTTCCTGTGCCACTCTTTTTTCTGGAAATCTGCTTCATCCCGTAGCTTCTTGAATACTAGGAATGAAAACCAGTAAGAAATACAAGGTCAAAACTTCATGTACCATTTGTATCATGCTGAATGTCACTGCAACAGTTTGGTCTAACTCTGTCCCTTGGATGTCAGTGAGAATCTGGCCATTGGATCAGGTTTTCAGTTAACATTGCAGCTATTATGGCTATCATTAACATAGCTATCATTATGGCTAACTCAACTTTCCTGGCTGCTTGCAGTCATCAGGAATTTAATGTGTCCTGTCTGATGATGTGCAGTCCCCAGCCATACAGCTCCTGGCTGGAAGGCAAATGAGAGGCAGCAGAGTCAGCAGCTGCTTGAGCTCTAACAGGTGCAGCTACTTGTTCCCAGCTGAATGGACTTTTTATACGGGAAATTTTCATTCCACCCACAGGAAAGCAAACCATGACATGCTGCAGTATTTTACATTTCTGTAACAATTCCCCTTCCTCCCATCACTTTAAGAATTTCAGTTCATACATATGCCCTGTCCTGTAGGAGACAGGCAAAACTCTGACATAAAAACCCTGGAACTTCTATTGGTGTCAAAAACACCAGTGAAAAGTGAAGATGACAACTGACGTAGCCTTGGTATAATTTTTCCAGCCCACTGCATAAAACAGATTAGCCTACCATCACCAATGAGGACAAGACTAGATTGATTGGTTGCTTTTCCATCCTGCAGCTGGAACGTGTAAGTTCCTTCATCCTTTTCCTCAAGTTTATCCATAATCATTTCAACAAGGCCTGTATTCCGGTCCACCTTCATTTTATATTTCTGCAGGAGTGGAAAGTAAAGCAACAATTAATACATGTCAGAGACAGAAAATATTTGTGAAGTGTTATAATCTTCACTTTAGGAGAAATTATGTTTTCTTTATTAGAATTCCCACTTATTCTGGTTCCCCTTTGTTCATATCCCTATCCTATTCTAGATTCACTAGCTCTAGCTCCAGCTCCAAATGTAGAAACAAATAGATAAATCTGTTTATTTACTGATGCTGTACAAGCACATGACATGCCTGTTGCACAGTGAGTACTATGTTCCTTTTCATTAGAAAGGTTTAGATTTTCATCTCTTCAGAATAATGCTTTCTTTGAGGGTGATTATATCTTACAAAGTTGTGTCTAGTTGTGTTCTCACCTCTGCCTTCTATCTGCTATCAGTGTTCCAACAAAGTCATGCCATGTCTTACCCCCATGTCTTTGGGGGTAAGAAATTCTGCAGCTGGAAACAACCATTTGGGAATTTTTCTGTGATTTAATAAATTCCTTCAAACCACAAAGAGAGGTGAGAACAAGGGTATTCTAGAGCTGTAGATGAAGGAGGTAGGAGGAGTCTGGGAAATTGCAGTGATTCCTTGAAGACCACAGTTAGTAGAGCACATGGTATTCACAAAAGTGGCAGGAAGGCATATAACTTCACTTTATGAAATTCATCCAGTAGAATTCATCTGGAGCTCAGAACAATGGATAAAATCTTTCTAATCATGCTTTCCATGACATATGCTATTTCTCATGAAAATGCATCAGAGTGGAACACTACTCGGAAGTATACTGAAGATAGAGACACTAATCCTCATTGATACTCATGAAAATGCAAGCACATGTAAGCAGTAAAAGCCTTACCTCTCCATTGAAAATCTCCTTATCATTAAATACAAAGTTGGCCTTTGCATTGCCAGACAGTTTTTCAGCTTGCAGCCAGAATCTCACTTCTCCTTTTTCCAAGATTTCCACTGCCAACTCAGAGGTAAGTGGGACAGCTACAAAGAAGAAAGAAAGGAGTAATGCAAATATTTTGCCTGTGCCCAAACAACTATTGTCTGCTACAACCAGAAAGCCACTTAAACCTTCCATACTCAAATACAGTATGCAAGGTAACTAGCTCATATCAGCTCTTCATATAGACAGAATGCCTCTCCACCCACATATACCTAGAGTGACAGATGAGATTTAGTCTTTTGATCCTTCAATCACAAGGCCTGTCACAACTAAAAGTGTTCAAGATTTGAGCTATGCTCCATTCTAAAACAAGGCTATTTCAAATGCAAACTGCAAGTATCTGTGCAGCATTACATGAGTCTGTATGGTGCAGACCCATGTTTAATGAGTTGTCTAATAATATTACTGTATGACAGTGAACTGACTCAGAGGGGAAAAAGACAAAACAAAACACAAAAAATCTCCAAGCACAAAGCCAGATCAGAAAGTCAGCTGCTGAGTTGTAGGTTGGGAGATTTTTGGAAACACTCTGATCCTCTGCTGAGCGGAACCTCCATCTCCAGAATTCACCAAATATCCAACCATATCCTCAGTCTCCCCAGCACATTTTGTTTTCCTATAAATAACCTAAACTCCAACATAGAAACCAATCCAGTGTGTCAACGGGGGAAAAAAAAAAAGTAAAAATTGTGCACTATACCATAGGTAACTCTTTTTAGCTAGTTAGTTCCTGATGTAACAGCATTCAGCTTGCTTTCACTTTAAGACACCATAATCAGCAACATTAATTATGAGTAGCTAGACTCTGACATTGGGGCAGATTGCTCATCTCATTGACTTCCGTCATGTTATCTGTCTTAGCGGATGTGCAGTAAAAATCATACTCTCAGGATTACGTGTGCTGCGGTGTGTGAGCCCTCCCTCAGGCTCTACTTTCTCAGCAGTGTAAAGTCTGCATTGCTAGGGTGTAGCATGGAACAGCTGAGGACAGTGCACAAACACGTTGCAAAACAGATGATGATATAGTCTGGTGGAAGTGTAAAGACACACCTCCCAGGGCAGGATGTTTTCTTTAGCTAGGTGTAGGCAGGCTCAGCTGCACCGGGAGACCAAAGCAGTGTCTGATTTCTTTCATCCTGCTGTTTGCAGACCGTTCTAAATGACAGGGATGCCTTCTGGAGCACAGCTGCCATCCCACCCCACTGCCAAACAGACTTAGGGGATGAGGTCCCCTCAGCTCTTCCTTTGCCAGTCACTCCTTCTCCCTCCCACACCCCACACCCACATCTGTGCTTTCAGTGCCCGAATGGCACAGTGTCTGCCTCTGATGAAAACAAAGCTCCTTGGAGGTGAGGCAACAGTCACAGGGAAACAAAGAGAGTTATGGAAAAGGCACATGCTTAACCAGAGAGGGAAAAGCCTGGAGTCTGGAAGAGCAGCATTGCCATGGAGTGGGGCAAAGACAGCCCCACGGAAGTGTGTCCCTGCTGTGCGAATGGTCCATGTGAGCCTTCCTCACCCAGCACATCACTTCGAGTGTAAGAAACAGAAGGAATCTCAGGGCTTGCATAATTTCTTAAAACAAAGCAACTGAAATGCTACAGGAAGCAAGTGGGAGTGTGAATAGACATCAGGCTGCACTGCTTTTGTCTCACTGTCATCACTACAGCAATTTTAAACCCCCACTTGGCTTGCCTGTTATTAACTAAGAATATCTTAGTCTAACATGGAAGGGAGAAAAGTATCTCAGCAGCTGTTAAATAAATGGCTGTAAGGATACAAAAGGATTCTTTTTTGGAGAAAAGTCTGATCACTTCTCAGCCTAAAGGAACTGAACGAATTTGCCTTACAGTCTGCCATGAGCAAAAGTCCTATTTAAAATATTTCCATAAGCATTGATAGCTATTTTAGGCATTTTCCAGTGGTTTTACATCCTATTCGTATAGCATCACAAATTACTGGCAGCACTTGACAGGCAGTCCTTGGGCAGTTGCTAAATTGAGGAGTTGGAAGAGTTTCTTTTTACCTCATACCAACACACTGTCGTCCCCATACATAGCTGTGCTCTGCAAGGTTGTTATCCAAGCAATCCATTTCCCTGTGGAGTTACTGGCTGCATGTGTTTCTAAGCAGAGGTTCCATTAATTGCTGCTCAGAAGTACAGACAGCTGAATCTCAGCCCCTAGTTATAATATATATTTTTCTTGAAGTGTACACAAGGGCCCAGAGTGGCCAAAGCATATCAGACAGTTTCCTCCTTAAGGATACTTTCTGCAGTGATCTCCCTTTTCTGCCTGTGCCTCCTGGAAGCTCATGTACAACTATGTAATTTCTGTTACCTAATACAGTGGAAAAAAGATGCTATGATCTGTGTCCTGAGGAGCTTATTTTGTGATGTTGGTAGTGAACAGAAAGCATGGAAGAGTCCTCAGGAGGAAAGGGTCAGGGCAAGTTAGGTCATGCGACAGCAGCAAGGTTTTGTGATGACCGACTCTTAGTGTGAAAATATAATTAGGAGAAGATAATTGGGAGGAGCAGGAGTAAACAAGGGTTTGTTTGGGCTGTCATTAAACTTTCAAAAGCTGATACAGTATGTTGAGAAGAGTAGAGCTGATGAGAAAAAGACAAAGAAGGAAATGAGAGAGATGATGTAGGCAAAAGGACAGGCCGTATCTGTAGCCAAGGACTGGCTGGGCTGAGAAGTGTGATGTGGGCTGACTTGGAAGAGGTGCCACCAGTGCATGCACTAAGCTGAAGATTTTAAAATGTAGGCAAAAGTTTCAGTGCTTGGACTGAAAAAGAAGAGAATATAGTAGGAGAAGATGAGACCAGCTTTAGGTCTCATCTTGTTGTGTGCATTAACATTCATTATGTAATCTAGTATTATTTTCCCCCTATTTATTCAAGTAATATTCCAATAAAAATAACCAAATTGTGCTACTACCAGGGTATCATAAATGTCTGTGGAATTAACAAAAATACCATCCCAAGAGTAGAAAGCATGTTCAAATTTTGTCAAATGTTCCAGGAAAAAAGGAGAGAATGAATTTCAGTAGGAAAATTCTGTACATATGGATCATTACAGCTGAATTTACTACACTTGCTAAATTTGTTAACCTTAAATTTAACTTATGTTAACTTCTGTTAGAGTAAAATTGGAGAATCATTCAAATTCTGGTTTTAAAATCAGGTCAAGCATGCTGAGTAAGTATTAAAACCTCTTCTGCAGAATAAGCAAAGCCAATATGTTATTTATTTTCCAGCTGTTATACAAGACATACTGGTCTATATATATAGACCAGTAGCCTGCAATAGTTTGGGAAGAACATCAGTAATATATAAATGCACTGAAAGAGGGAGGGGGAAAAAAAGAATCTTAATTTTTTTCAATCCAAACCCACTTTCACTTGAAATTACTATAGTGATCTCCTTACCTGATGGTGGCAGGAGCTTTGTGACCATAGATTTATAGAAAGGTTTGGGTTGGAAGGGACCTTCAAAGTCATCTAGTCCCAAGCCCCCTGCTATGAGCAGGGACATCTTCAACTAGATCAGGCTTGTGATAGCCCACTGCATGCAAAGCTCTCCCCTGCAGACAGGATTGATTCACTTACTTGGGAATTGGCGTTCGTGGCTCAGAGCAAGCAGGCGTTTCATTTCTGCAAAAGACGTAAAAGAAGTAATATGAGGTGTGTGTGTGTGTGCCTTTTGCATCTGAGAGACACAGCAGCAGGGAAAAACAGATGTGAAGGCAAACTGGGCATGCTTAGTAGGCATTGTGTCTACCTTCCTCATTAATCGTGTAGCTTGATGAAACTCCATCAGTGTCTGTAACAATACAAGAGTAAATTCCCAAATCATCTTCTCCAAGATCCTTAAAGGAAAGTTTTGACCTATAAAGGGAAAAAAAAGTGTTGTGATGAAAAGGTGAAATCCACCTGAAACAAACCCCTCCTTTCTGTCTATAATACCAGATATAAATAGCTTTTTGTTAGCTTTTTCTCTGACTGAACAGACAAATATTCAGCTCTGGCAACTATAAATCAGAGTAAGTCCTACCATGTGTGGTAGAAATGGTGATGGCACCAAAAGAAAAAAGGTGTTTTGTCAAGTCTTTGACGACCCTGGAAGGATACTGTAGGTAAAGGCCGCCTCAGTTTCCATATGGCAGCACCATGACTGTGGTGGGCCACTGTTTCTTTCAGTATGGCTTCTGTCACTAGGAGAGCACATAGGCCCCTCATGGGCTGAACCTGTGCATTCACCTTGTCTTCCTCTGGGAAAAGCCTGAAGAAACAGAGTAGGCTTGGCAACGTTATATAAGTTACTAAATCAGGCCACGGTGATGCCATCATGTCTTGCTTACTGCAGCAGTTCCAAAGACTACAGCTGCATTACAGGGCAAATGTATTTTGCAAGGAGAAAGATAATTTTATTATTTGGAGATTTAAAAGAATAGGAATAGGAATAGGAATAGGAATAGGAATAGGAATAGGAATAGGAATAGGAATAGGAATAGGAATAGGAATAGGAATAGGAATACTGCTACTACTGCTACTACTACAACTTGACTGACAGGTTATAAGGTGATAGGGCACAGATTTTCTCTCCCTGTGCCTAAACAAGGCTAAAGTGCCTACAGAGGAGGTCTGATTAATTCTGGGCAAGCTACAATCTCCAAATGGTCTGGGTATGGATTTACTGGAGAACAGCATTCTCAGAAAGTAACCATCAAGTAACAGAGGCAGTTTTAGCTCTCCCTGAGGTCGTATATTAAGAGGAGGGATTTCTGTGACAGTCTAAATCTCTCAAACATGAGACTATTTCTACCCCTGAGGGTCTTACTTTCCGCCTTTGGTATCGATGTTCAGTCGAGGGTCATCCTCAATTGGTTCATAATTCTTGGACCAAATAAATTTAGAGTCTGGAGACATCTGATCACATTCAAAGTTCAAGGAAATTACTCCATTGTCATCTACATCAACCACCACTTCCTTGGTTCCTTAAAGAGCAGAAAAAGGCAATTCCAGTTTCTCAGAGAAGTCAGCAAACAAATTTCTATAGATATCATTCAGAGAGTGGATTAAACAGATCCTTGCCATTTTCTCATCTGGAACATAAATTGCTACACTCATGTATATCCTTGGTCTTTGTTTCACAAAAACAGTTCTTTTTCTAATCCACAGGTTAAAACACATCATAAATCAACTAATTTATTTGCTTGAATCTAAGCATCTAAGCATACACAAGAGTTGCAGTATTTGCTATGAAAAAGCCTGAAGGGGGGAAAAAAAGCAAGATTTTAAATCCACTAAATGTCTGAGCCATCAAATAGCAGTATTTTTCATGGTAAGGGGTCATTAGAGCTTTCATTATACAGCATGGATTTCCTATTCTCTAAAAAGGTAAGTGTTATACAGGGAATAATATGCAAATGTGAGCATTTGAGGAGGTGAAGAAGAGGAAGCAGTCGAGTTGCCCCAGCAGCGCACATTTGTGTCTGAGGCACATTTTTGGTGACACTGGCTTTTCTCAGGGAGGTTGGTTTAATTGCTGTGCTTGGCATCCAGCCCTGCTGCCGTCTGCACCATTAATCCTGGGCCCACAAAGGGAGTGAATATTTGCAATTAGCTGCTTATGTCACCCACCCAGTCTTGCCAGTACCTTCAGTTGTTGAGCTGGATAGGGTGACCCAGTTTGTCCCTTAAAAGGCCTTGGGGGTGAATTTTGGGTCAGCAACCTGAAGGCACTCTATTCTGCTGCCTCAGACCCCAGTGGAGCTGAGGAAATTTCATCTGGGATTTGGGCAACCCAGTGAGATTGTCATCTGTGGCATTAATGTTCATTTCAACAACTTGTCTGAGAATGTCAGGGAGAGCATGTGCACTGAGAGGTGCTGGAGAACATCCAGCCTTCTTTTCTGAACAGCTCTGAGCTGGATCTCACATCTGAATAGGGCACTCATGTCCTATTACTTGAGCTAAGACAATTCTGGGCTGCCCAGAATACTAATGACACACTTTCACCACAAAGTATTGTATTTCAAGGACAGGAGCCTTATTCCTGACACTGAGATGAAATGCTTTATTTTCAGCATAATTCTTAGTGACCCTCAAGCATAGTAGGAGATTTCTGTGTTTCGTCATCCTAATACTATACATGTCTTTTCCAGCACTGTGAGCAGCTCCTGTCATGACAATCTGTGTATGCACAGCTTTCTTAGTCTTCACACTTTGCCATAAGCATTTAATGAAAGATGAGATTAATATTCCCATTTTGGCACTGTTATGTACCAGCCCTTGCAGTAGTGAAGCACATTAAGTACCAATGTGTGATAAATGAAATCTGAGACCTGCAAATATTTTACTAGGCAATAGTATATTTGCAATTTTGTGGTTATAATTTAATTTATTATATGCAAAATTCATCACTTGAAATTTCATTAGTGTTTAGTTTCCTCTAGGTCATTAGACCACGAATCTTTTGATGGCACTTTATATGACATGGAAAGAATTATAGCCGTTAGGTTAATTTGAAAAAGAGAATCTTTTACATTTGTTTTAAGGCATTCTCATTATGGTAACAATGTATAGCATTTATTTCCAGAACTGATGATGGAATTTACCTCTAATATTTATATGAGTAAAAAAAAAAAATTATCTAAATTACTGACCACATTTGAAGACCTCACTCCACATACCCTGCCAAGTGGAGCCAAAGAAGCTGCCATAGTACTAGCAGTCTTAATTTCCCTCTAGATAGCTTGGTGGTTTCAACATATCATGCAGAGCTTCTCTTAGATTCATAGTAAGAAATAAAATACTTAGATGTCATATCACATCTCCATTTATCTGAGAATTTTATTGCATTGAAAGGAAAGAAACAACAGAACGTAAAGCAGGCATCTTCCGCACACTAGAGGTAATGGCATTGTTTTGAATACAGCCAATCAGGAAAGCTGAATGGCACAGAGTTTCCTCAGTTTCTGCGGTTCAGGCCTTTCTGAGGTGGCTGATGCAAGTTCATAATCTAATTTTTCTTTGTATCAAGATAAACAAGGACTAAAGGCAGCAATGCAGAAGAGTTGCAGTCTGCTCTTAGATTTCTCGTTTCCTGCAAGATCCACATACACTGAAGTGCTTTGTCAAAAGCCAAAGTAACAGATCAAAACTAGCCTGGATTAGTATTTGTTTGCATGGTTGGGATTTTTCATTTAATTTTAGAAGATAACTGTACAAATTAAATGTGGTTTTCAAAGAAAAGAAAGCAGATGCAAAGTATTGAATCATTACAGTTACACATTCCTTTGGATAAAGACACCTGGTACCCTTTGTATGAAAGCAGGTATTTTCATTCAGGGTATTATTTGCTTACATTCTTTGGTTACAAATCTTAGTTTTCTTGTGATTTTACACATTTGCCAAAAGTAGCATTCCAGCAGGAACTGTCTAGAAAGACCTTACAATATTTTTTCCAAGACATAGAGGCATGATTCATTGGGCAGCACCAAAATATTTTTGGTAATTTTTAAAAAATGGTGTGATTGTTCTTGACATTTTTGTGGTGAGAGTGAGAAAGGCAGAAGCCTGCTCAAGAGGCTGTTTTATGAAATAATTGTTTTTAATAAGTTTTTGTCTTTTTTTAATACCTTTAAGAAGCTTAGTTTGATGGATTTTGTATCAGCAGATCTCAGCTCAAAATATGGGTCAAGTAGATTTGTACACATAAGTAATTTCCAGGTTCCCTGAGTGCTAACTGGGATAAATCCTCACTTTCTGGTGATCCCTCAGACGTCATACCTATGAAGCCTCCTTTAATGGTGAGGTCTGTAAACCAAATGTTCTGCTCAAGTTCACCTTGTTTGAGTGAACACTGAAAACACTGTACAATTTTTTAGGTGATGTTGGTCATCTTCACAAGAGTTTTTTTTTTTTTTTTTTTTTTTTTCGGTTTT